TAAAAAGTGATCATTCTGGGCAAGAACAGCTTAACTCCCACCATGTACTATAAGAAACTCCAGGTGGGTCAAATTAGATAAAAAACAAAGATGTTTTCTTTTTCTTCTTTTCCTCCAAGCATCAGTTTCCCTCTCTCTAATATACCACCCCGGCCATAATTTCCTAGTGTGAATTTTTTTCTGTCTGACTATATGTAGTGTTGGTGGGAGGGTAAAGTTCTGTTACTATTTTCCATTTGGAAGCTGAAGGTGATTTACCCTTTCTCTAACCACCCAGTACAGCCAGGGGATGTGCCCTTGACCTAAGCTCAGCCAATCCAGTGGTCACTCCTAGAACTTTGATTCTGATGCAAGGACAAAAAAGAACAGTGGGCCTTCCCTGGTGGCACAGTGGTTAAGAGTTCGCCTGCCAATGCAGGGGACACGGGCCGGGAAGATCCCATGTGCCGCGGAGCAGCTGGGCCCGTGAGCCACGGCCGCTGAGCCTGCACGTCCGGAGCCTGTGCTCCGCGACGGGAGAGGCCACAGCAGTGAGAGGCCCGCATACCGCCAAAAAAAAAAAAGAAAGAACAGTGGTTGGTCAGTGACACCCGAACAGGTCATTCCAACTACAGACCAGCTGCTGTTCTTCCAGCTCTGGTACTACAGAGCTCCTTGGTCCTTTCCCAATCTCAAGCATGTTTCCTCAGACTCACAGCAATAGTTTGTTTATACTGGCCAGGGTGAGATTCTTTCCATACCCTTGCGGAGACTGCAATTTCAAAGAAATAACTGATGAAAAAAAAGACAACATGAAATGGTGGGTGGTGTCACAGCTCATCTCGGCATATCTCCTTTACAAGGGAAGCACTCTGGTGGATGGTCTGATGGTTTGCATTTCTTCCTCTTGCCTCCTCCTACGGGAGAGGTAGACTTCTCTAACCCATTGACCTTGTCTTGGCCATGTGACTTCACTGACCAATAGAATATAAGTGGATATGATGGGTATCATGTCTGAGCAGAAGCTTTAAGAATGGTTTGCCAAATTTTGCTTCCAAAATATGTATTTTACATTATCCATATTCCATTCTTCTGCCAACACTGTCCAAACCCATGCTAATCTTGGTCATCTACCTCAACAGCCTTCTAACTATCTCCTGGCTTTTAGCTGTGTGCCCCTGAAATCCACCCCTCACACATCTGTCAGTGACGTCAAATCTAACCTTAGCCACAGATTCAAAGCCTTCGACAGTTTCCTCTCCTCGACATGGCATTTGAGAGACATCATGACTTGCCTCCTAGCTATCCCTTCAGCCTCATCCCTGGACATCCCCAGCTTCCCACTTTATGCTGAGCAATAGGAAACTGCCTAAAGCATCCCGAACACTGCACCATGCCTTTGTCCATTCTGTTCTCTTAGCTTGTCCTCTTCTTCCTCCTAATTTTTGTCCAGATAATCACTTCTGTTCAACTCTCAAGGTTCAGCTCAATATCAGTGCTTCTAGAAGGTTGTACCCAGTGCTTTGTAGGCATGCACTTTCCCTGTGCTTCCTTGGTGCATGCATCCCTGGCACTTTCCACGTGGTATTGAAATTATTTGTTGTGTATCCTTCTTTCCAGTGGACTGCCTCCATTCTGGATGGCAGACATGATATCTTATTCAGCTCTTTATCCTCAGAATCTAGCATGATGTCTGGCACATGCAGGTATTCAATACATGTTTGTGGAGCTGAAATAAACCAAAAAAATTAACCATGAGTATAAGAAAACTGAGTAGTGTCATAGCAGCTGGGATTCTTACAAAGCTAAAAACATTATAAATTGGTTCTTCTGGAAAGCAGTATGACAACATACAACAAAAACCATGAAATGTTCATTCTCCTTCACTTGGTATTTTCCTGTTTGTGAATACTCCCCAAAGAAATAATGCAAACAGGGAAAATTTACGCAGATGTTCCCGGCAACTCTAGTTAAAATAGTGAAAAAAACTGGAAGCAATCCAAGTGTCTAATAGAGAAATGACTAAGCAAACAATGGAATTATAACATAGCTATTAAAAACGACAGGGGTGGGCTTCCCTGGTGGCGCAGTGGTTGAGAGTCCGCCTGCTGATGCAGCGGACGTGGGTTCGTGCCCAGGTCCGGGAAGATCCCACGTGCTGTGGAGTGCCTGGGCCCGTGAGCCATGGCTGCTGAGCCTGCGCTCCGCAGTGGGAGGGGCCACGGCAGTGAGAGGCCCGCGGACCGCAAAAAAAGAAAAAAAAAAATTTCTGCTGTACAGCAAAGTGATTCAGTTATACATATAGACATTCTTTTCTTTAATGTTCTTTTCCATTACGGTTTATCATAGGATACTGAATATAGTTCTCTGTCCTATACAGTAGGACCTTGTTGTTTATAAAATTTCTTCTTTTTTAAAAAAATTCACTGAGACCCTTAAAAAAATGGAGATTGCCCAGGCCTCTGTAGATCTCTGGGAGGCCCAGAATGTAATTATCACTTTATCTTTACAATGTGATAGTTTTAACTAGGGGCCCCAAACTAATGGGTTGTTAATAACTTAGCTATGTAAACACCTAACTTACAAACTGCTATCTACTAGCTGCATGTACTGTTTCTGCTGCCATGTAACCAGTGTTCAGAAAAGTCACAGCTTTTACAGAGGTGGTTCACAGCCCTGATGGCAGTTCAGAATCACCTATGTTTTTTCAGACCCCACTCCAGGACCTAGGTTCTCCAGGGCTGAATTCTAGAGATTCCTATGCTTAAAAAGCTTTCTTCCTTTTTTCTTTCCTGCACTGTATTTCCTTACAGTTCCAGGACTCAGAATTCAAGCTAGTACTGTTAATTGTATGGTTTAGCTGCATAATAGGTTTAACAGATCTGAAGGCTAATCTGAAGGTCAATCACCATTTTCAATGGAACCTCTCCGGGGTGATGTGTTATAAGGGCCCAAAAAACAATTTAGAAAAGAAGTTTGAGGGTGTGGTCCACAGATTTTGGGAGGAACTGCCTGTATAACACTTTTAATCAAAATACCTTCAATTATTCCTCAAATTTCTTATTGTGCTTAAATATATGAAAATAAATAAATACTGAATATAAGTGTTATGTTCAAGTGTCCTTTCTTAGAAATGATGTGAAGTAGCAGGTTTTATAAGCAGTAAAACTGCAACAAGCCCAAACTGTCAAATGACTGAATTCTTTTTGCTTCATAAAAACACAAACCTGGGGCTTCCCTGGTGGCGCAGTGGTTGAGAGTCCGCCTTCCGACGCAGGGGACGCGGGTTCGTGCCCCGGTCCGGGAAGATCCCACATGCCGCGGAGCGGCTGGGCCCGTGAGCCGCTGGGCCTGCGCGTCCGGAGCCTGTGCTCCGCAACGGGAGAGGCCACGACAGTGAGAGGCCCGCGTACTGCAAACAACAACAACAACAACAACAAAACCCCCCACAAACCTGAAGAATATGGCTTTATAACAGAGAGAAAAACAAATTCCAGGATGTGGGCTGAGGTCAGTACTTGTGCTGTCCGTTCTCCTGTACCTTCTCCTCTTCTTCCTAGCTCTGTACTATGGTTACTGATGCTCTGGAGATGATGACCCTCTCTGTGTCCCAGCAACATTCGCCATCCATGAAATAAAGATTTATTTGTGCTCATCTAAACCCAAAACACACAAGAAAATGTCCAGGGCAGTTAGAGGAGCATATGGGAACTGAGAATCAGGGTTACATTGTCTCACTTCCTGCCTACCCTACTCCCCATTCACCCTACCTTACATTCCCTTTGGAGTGATTATGTCTATGGGGTCAGAGGAAGACATTTTCCTACTTCTTACCTCAAAAGCGCAGACAGACACTGAAGGCATCTGACTAAGGGTTATGTTTATCCTTTGAGGAGCTGTTAGCAGAATATTTGGACTTGGATCAAATTCAGAAAAATCAAGTTCAAAAGGACCGTGATTGTGAGAGCAGCAAATGGCGTGGTGTTGATCAATACAATGTCTAGTTATAATGGTGGCGGATTTAATTGTGTTACAGAAAGATACGGCTGTTAAGGTTTTCCCGGTGAACCAGAGATCTGAGACAGTAATTATTTAAGTTTAAATCCACTTTGGCCTTCCTTATTTGAAGGTAAGAGTGTTAGAAGGATGATATATCTGGGACCCTGTGGTAGGAAGCTTCCAGGCTGAACTGCCACCACCTATGTGATTGCCCCAGAAAGCATCCACAGATGCTATACACGTTTTCCTCTCCCGAATGATCCAGAAAATTGCCCTTCGGCCCCTGCTTCATTACGTGGGGTAGAATGTATTCAAGTAACTATTGCCTGGGCTACAATTGCTGCTTCAGATGAAAACCCAGGAAGCCGAATCCCTGCTGCTGTTGAAAGTGTATAATTAGCTCCTTGTGCAGCCTGACCCCATTGATTCTTCTGACGCATTTGGCTTGAGGTGTGCCCTTTCTGGGACCTCCAATATCTTCTCCACAGCTGGAGATGCCCCAAACTGCACGCAGCACTTCCTGTGGGCGTGGTTTTGCATTCTGAGGGCTGCGCGCAGAGTGAATCACGTGTTTCAAATGCTCACAGATTCACGGTGCTTCTTTTAAAACACAGGAGTGGGTTGTGAGTGGCTCTGTTAGCCACAAGAGAATCCCCTCCTTCCTTTTTCTTTTTAAAAAGTAATTTTGTAATGGTAGCCTCTCAAGAAACACTATAATTGGTCAGCCTGGGGTGCGTTAGATGTCCTACCAGATAACGTCATTAGCTATTCTCAGGAGAGGAGAGGAAAGTCAGGGTATGCCCCCTGGGACAATGACAACACTTGTTTCAAGTTGGGGAAGAGCCTGTGGTTCTTTTCCTGCGTTTGGAGGAAAGCGAACACACAATGTTCATTTCCTAAATACGGGATGTGCTGTGAGGCTGGTGTGTTACTTCCCACCCTGTCACATCCTTCTGGATGGAGGCAGCAGGGGCCAGGACAGGAAATGGCAAATTCTCAGAATGAGACAAGGCTTTCCCAGTGCAGTCATTGGCTCTCTGGAACTATAAAGCATATGCTCATCCAGAAACAGCCTCAGATTTTTCTTTCCCGGAGATAGCCAGAAGTGAATGGTAAGTGGGGAGGCCAGAGGGATGCTGTCTGAAAAATAGCCATTGGACTTGTAATACTGGGGTTATATCCTTGGTCTATTATATATTTTGAGTAACTTTGTCTCATTTTGCTCAGAGGTGTCTTTATCTGTAAATTTGTCAGTGGTGGGTGGAATTATGGAGGCATGCAAGTAAAGTTAAGACTTAGGAGTCAGGAGACCAAGATTCTAGACTGGGCTCTGAAGAATCAGCTGCATCTAGAATGTGTCTGTGTTTCCATTTCCTCATCTTCCAGTTGAGAATGATGATTTCTGCCCTGATATCTCACAGTAGTGAAATCTTCCATTTCTGTGGCTTCTGTGCCTCTTCCAAGAAGTTCCTGATAATAAGGAGTACAGTGGATATGAAGGGAGGGATTTTTGGCAACTAGGAAGGATGTACTTTTACCCAGGATGTACAGTTCTCTCTGTCAGTCATCTTCAATTGGCTTCATTTCAACTTGGTACAGGTAGCCCTCAGTGAGTTGTTAAAAAATTTTTGGCCACTTTTAAAATCGTTCCTCACTTTTAAAGGAAGCTTCCATAATAAAGGGACATAGTGGTGTTAATTTAACGTAATTTACTCTTAATTAAGCACACATCAAAGAATGAAATTTCTGAAGACCCGATAAGCTCTAATTAAAAGAAAGTGGCGCAAACCACATCTCAGGCTTGATTCTAAGATAAGAGACAGGAAAAAAAAACAAGCAGAAGAGTTGCTTCAGGCGAGCATCTAACTTAGAAAGATTAGTTTCCTTACACTTGATAGACGGTGTGATTTTTGTTTTTGGTGGCTTGTGTTTTTCACTCATCAGAGAGAAAAAGAAAAAAACAACCCTTTTACAATAAGAGTATTGCAAAACTCTTAGGATCCCAGTCTTCATGTAAGGAAAGGGCCTTGTAAAGGGGTACAACATACGGCTTGCAAAGTGTCACCTTTCAGAGAAGAGGCCTCAATATTGCAGTAGACTTCTAATACCACCACTCCCTTATTTAACAGATAAGAAAATCCGTCCTTGGCGTACCCTGGGAGAAAAAGCGGACAAGAGCATTATTCCTATTGGCTTACTCGGATTTAAGGTCCTGAGAACTGGAGGACTTGTCCCAGATTATAGAACGGGTCTTTCAGAACTTGACACATGACTCACTGGAAAATGACCCGTTTCCCCTTGAGTGGAAGCAGCTGTTGTGCTTGACTCCGGGCTAACTGCGTGTCGTGTCCCCGCAGGGCATGCAGGGGCCGGACGCCCGAGAGCTGCAGGGCGCGGATGCGCTGCGCCGCTTCCAGGGCCTGTTGTTGGACCGCCGCGGCAGGCTGCACGGGCAGCTGCTGCGCCTGCGCGAGGTGGCCCGGCGCCTCGAGCGCCTCCGCCGGCGTTCCCTGGCGGCCAACGTGGCTGGCAGCTCGCTGAGCGCCGCGGGCGCGGTCGCAGCCATCGTGGGACTCTCGCTCAGCCCCGTCACCCTGGGGGTCTCTATGCTGGCGTCGGCCGTGGGGCTGGGGGTGGCCACCGCCGGAGGGGCCGTCACCATCACGTCCGACCTCTCCCTGATCTCCTGCAACTCCCGGGAGCTGCGGCGGGTGCAGGAGATCGCGGCCACCTGCCAGGACCAGATGCGCGAGATCCTGAGCTGCCTCGACTTCTTCCTTCGCGGGCAGGGCCGCGGGGACCGCCAGCTGCTGCAGAGCGGGAGGAACGCCTCCATCGCGCTGTACAGCTCCGTCTACTTCATCGTCTTCTTTGGCTCCCGCGGTTTCCTCATCCCCAGGTGGGCCGAGGGTTCCACCAGGATTAGCCAGGCCGTGCTGAAGGCCAAGATCCAGAAACTGGCCGAGAGCCTGGAGTACTGCACCAGGGCTCTGGACAAGCTCAGCGAGCAACTGGAGTCCAGAGTCCAGCTCTACACGAAGAGCAGCCGTGGCCACGACCTCAAGATCTCTGCTAACCAGTCCGCTGGGCTGTTTTTCTGAGAATATCTTTTCCCCCTAATGACCGAGGCCAGAAACCATCCCCATGGGATGCTCCAGATTTGTAGCTCCCTCAGGAAAACACCAAGTTGGGTTATAGGAGCTGAATGCAAAGGATGAGAAAAACTGTTCTTCAGCAGTTTGAGAGCAGTGGTTTGAGCCGAGGCTGCAGAGGGTTGCAGACATTGCCACCCTTTGGGTCTTCTCCAAGCCCCAGTAGGCTTTGAAGTCCTCAAAAAACCTCTAAGAGGAGACACTAGCTTTAAAACCTCTCTGCCAGAGTTTCTGAGTACAAAGAAATCCAGAATCCAGAGCAAATCAGACCCTCTCGGAACTGTGTAGGAGGGTTCAGAACCCAAGAGAGGCACCTCCCGCTAACACGTGTCCCCTCCCCTCTCAGCGTGCCCACTCATAGATCCAGCCTGCAGATGGAGCGGACCTTCCAGGGTGTCTTCATATCCAGACCTCCAAGGTACTCTGAGAGGGGAAACCAACTAAATGGTCACCTAAGTGCCGTCCCCTTGCAGAAGAAACTGAGGCCAAGGAAGAGGAAATGACTAACAGCTTCGTTTACTGACATCATAGCGTAGAGAAGGGAGCAGTGGCTTTTGAGTTAGTCCTGGGTTTACTGTCTAAGACTTGGCTTACTGGTCTGTAAAATTGATGCTAAAACCTCACCCTGTTGGGTGGTATTAAGTGAGATAAAGTGCCAAGCACAGTGTCTGGGTCACATAGTGTGGCCCCCTGGGCTGGCAGCATCACCTGGGGACTTGCTAGAAAGGCAAATTCTTGGCCTCCACTCTAGACTTAAGGAGTCAGAAATTCTGGAGGTGGGGCGCAGCAACCTGTGTTTAAACAAGCTCTTGGGGTGATTTGATGCCTGATAAGGTTTGAAAACCGCTGCAAGGGATGTTGGTTTCTGATCCTCTGATGAGCTTTCACGAAGTCTATAGCCTCTCTGGGTTCCGTGGTCTTCAGAGTCATTCACAAAAGGTCAAGGACAGTGTCCCAGAGGTAAAAGAAAGAAGGTGCGTGGGGACGGCTGTGTCAATGCTTCCTGGGGCAATTTCCTGCCAGGTGAACTAAGGGATGTAGCAGAATCAGCCCTTTAGAGGGCAGTGTTGCCCACTCGTTGTAAAAACTGGTACAGAAAGGAATGTGAATTTAATGGAAATTGACCTTTATTACCTTCTCTGAAAACCTCCAGACCATTTTTTAATTATTTATTTTAAGTTTCTTATTTAATTACTGTTTATTATTAACATTTAATTTTATTTAACCACAACATTAGAAAATAATAGGAATAGCACATTGCTGAATGGGAGACTACTGAGGTTCTTTTTGGGAGGTGAAGTTGAGTTTGCCTTTCTAAGGTGGGCCATGAGCTGAAAATAGCATTGCTTTCCTTGAATAAGTCTCTCTCCTTCAGAGGGGAATTTTTCCCCCCAGTGTTTTAAATGATCCTTTTAAGTAAAATGTGGGAAGTTCTGAATAGAGAGACCAGGAGCTGAATTTAAGCTTACAAATGGAGGCTTGACTTGTCAATATACAGATGATGCAAGCATATCTATCCTGAAGGTACAAGACTTTGCCAGCAGATAACACTTGACCTGAAAAGCCTTCCCTATTTAGTTCGGGGTGGGGGGGGAAACCAATTAGAGGCATATGAAGGAAGCACTTGGAAGCCTGATGTCCTGTGAAGTTGGGTCTTATGGGCGATAGACAAATTAGCTTGTGTTATGATGGTGATGTGTTATATTTTCACTTTGGGAGCTGTAAGAAATCTGTAAACTGTCTCTTAGAAAATACTTCCAATTTCTTCAGTTTCCATTCCTACAAATGTATTGTTGAAAAGTCTTTGGGACCACGCGCACAATAAAACTTGGCTGTATTATTGAATTATCTAATATGCTTGAAATTTACCCAGTTGATCCCCATGCTTCCCAGTGATGGCAGGGTGTCTGAGGAAGTGTAATTTCAGTGCTGGGGAGAGGGGTTGATGTTTCTGTATTTTTATTTTTCCTATAAATGGCAATGGATCTCTATCCTGGTTTATTCTGAAGTTGGTACCAGTTGTGTTTTTTTAAACTGGTGTCATTTCCTAGGTTGCCTTGACTGCCTAACCTCATCTTTTATTAATGCTTAAGTTTAAATTATATTCTTCCAGTGCCTGAGCTGTTCCCTAGAAATAAACTGGGCATTTTTGGAAGCCCCAGCCTCAGCGGCAGCAACAACAACCATTTTGTATTGTTAGGGTATTTTGCGTGTATCAAAGTCTTAAACTCTTGAAGTTATAATTTCAGTGACCCACTGTACATCTAAGGCAGGGTGTCTACTTTGGAACAATACTTTGCACGTTATAGGAGCTCAGTAAATGCATTTGAATAATTTAATGAACTGTTTAACCATATTAAGAGGAATTTGTTGATAATGAAAGAGCATCTATCCTCTTATGTGTCTGTCATAAAGATGGAAGCCTCTACCAGGATTTAAGTCAGGTTCAGTTAAATGGATCCTAGAGACAAGCATTTTCTTTATTTCTTTTGTGGGAATGTGAATAAGGCTTTTCCTTAAGGCCTTCGTTCTATAAAACAGTTTGAAATGGTATGTTGTAAAGGGAAGAAGAGAAAGGGGTATTTAGATTACAAGTGTACTTCAGAAAAATATCCGAGTTCGAAAAATAAATATGTTCATATTGAAGGTTTAAGTGGTTCTGTTGGTTTCTGGGGTTTACAATCATGTGGATTGTTTTCTTTCACAATAAAGGAGATTCATTTGGTTCTGCATTTCAAGGGTTCAATAAAGCTACATTCTACTCTATTAAAAAGATAATCCTTAGCAGACATTTCTGATTCTAATCACTTTGATGCGTTTGTCCTCAGGCACCTGTCATTTCCAGTGTGGTAAACGTCAAAGTCAAAAGTGTTTACTGGGAGGAAAAAAACAGAGAAGAGTGGTGTAGAAGGCACTGTAGCTCAGGTATGCCAAACAATTTGTCAGCTTGATATATTTCTCACTCAAAGCCTTGGCGTGAAAAGAAAGTAGAAGGAATGGAGATGTTGAGAGAAAGACATTGTGCAGAGATAAATGGGGATATCATTAAATGCAGCAAATTTTGAATTCCACATTTTTTTCCCATTGTAGCAAAGTCAGTCCTTCCCTTTATTGAAATAAATTGCCCAGTCCTCAAACGTCGTCTTCTTTTTTTTGGCTGTGCTATGCTGGCTTGTGAGATCTTATTTCCCCAACCAGGGATCAAACCTGGGCCCGGCAGTGAAAGCACCGAGTCCTAACCCCTGGACCGCCAGGGAATTCCCAACTTCTTTTTTTTTTTTTTTTTTTTTTTTTTTGCGGTACGCGGGCCTCTCTCTGTTGTGGCCTCTCCCGTTGCGGAGCACAGGCTCCGGACGCGCAGGCTCAGCGGCCATGGCTCACGGGCCCAGCCGCTCCGTGGCATGTGGGATCTTTCCGGACCGGGGCACGAACCCGTGTCCCCCGCATCGGCAGGGCGGACTCTCAACCACTGCGCCACCAGGGAAGCCCTAAATCAATTTTTAAAGAGTTATCAACTCATGTATAAGAATTCTCTTATTATCTAGAAATCAGACTTCCAGCAGTTTCAAACCTTTGAACATAATTACAACCTGAGAAGTAATTGAGAAGAATCCCAGAATCAGCCAAATTAGGCTTCACAAAACCCAAACACTGGAGAGAGGCAGAGAGGGAAGGCAAGGGGCAGCATCTATATTAGGAAGGCAAAACTTTCCCAGGAGTCTCCACGGGACTTCACCTGGCAAGTCACTGATCTTAACCGTGCAAAGCAAGCTGGGAAATGCAGTACTTTTAGCTAAGAACTAGCTGTTCCCCAAATACCTAGGATTCTGTTTGTAAGTACAAACAGGAGGATGGACATTGGGTCGACGGGCCAGCAGTCCAAACAAAGAGCCTACAGTGGTTGCCGCAGTGAGTTGAGAACTTCTGCTGAAGGTAATCTGGAGGTAACCTCGTTATCTGAGTGCCAGCCTGAGTCCGCATCTTGGAAACATCCCTGGATGTTGCACTGTTAATGACTGTGCAACCGAAAAAAGAAAAAACAAGGCTGTGCTGGCAGGATCCTGGCTGTTTGCAAAGGCCAGCCACAAGCTGGGACCATATCTTTGCTAAAGCATATGGTATTCCTGTCATAAGAAGTAACCTTTTAGTTAATTGCAATAAATCTCTCCTTGTTGAGTTGACAGGAGTTTGGAAAATTGTTACTCTTTGCTCCTGGCAAACTCATAAGAGGAAAGTAAACCCTGCTGTGGTCTGGACTAGGACAAAGAGTGAGCCCTAAGATCTGGAAATAATCCCTTAGCAACCAGAGAGTTGTTAGAAGAGGGGAAATTGTGCTGTTGAAGCGAGACCCCTAAGGGGCAGGAATGAACCTTAGGGACCCTCAGCATCCCCCAGTTCTGACTGGCATTAGCACTGGGCTGTGGAGAGAAGCCCCTCCAACGTGGTCTTGCCTGTACAGATCAAACTTGTCCATACGAAGCTACACCTGCAGAGAATGATGTTTAATCCCATTCTGTATTTCCAGTGTAACCCCAGGGAGGGGAGTGCAGGCAGGTCTGCAACCTGATTTGCCCCAGAACTTTAGCAATGAGTCATGGCCAAGGTCTCTGACTCTCAAGAGCACAGGGCAGCCACAGCAGGACTTGTTCCAGCGTTTGTGTGCATCCAGTTGCTAAATTAATAAAACAGTTGTAATTGGGAGAAGCTTTTTGTGTAAAGGGAGTTGGGGAAGGACAGTGATATCTAAAATCTTTCTTTTAGGCTCCAAATTTCTTGTGCCAGTTTCCCTGGTTGACATGGGGACATTTATTAAAACTGATCTTGTTATTCAAACTGCACTGAACTTATTTACAAAACAGAAACAGACTTACAGATATCAAAAGCAAACTTATGGTTACCAAAGGGGAAACGTGGGTGGTGGGGGAGGGATGAATCAGGAGATTGGCATGAACACACACACACACACACTATATATAAGATAGATAACCAACGACGACCTACTGTGTAGCACAGGGAACTCTACTCAATATTCTGGGATAATCTATATGAGAAAAGAATCTAAAAAAGAATGAATATATGT